GAAGGAGAGGAATCTCCTTCTTGCTCAGAGATGCAAATTCTTTTGAGATGTGCTGAACTCTCATTGCCAGGAGCATCCAGGACCATGACTCCTCAGCTATTAGTGGTGGCAAATGCTGACAAAGGAAGGAAATTAATGGGACTCGAACAGTGGTTCTCAAAGTGCGGTAGTGGTCTGTGGCCAACTCCCAGGTGGTCCGCAGCTCGAGATCAGTCCCCCCCCCTTCTCCCATGCAGCAGTGGGTCCACAGTGCTGCTCAAGCCTTGCAGTTGGCGTGCAACCACAAGTCTGTAGCACCAGCTCCGGCTTCCAGCTCAGAGGACATGTGCAGGGGGGAAAAGGGTGGAGAACGCAAACTCACCCTCCTGCGCAAGCTTCAGAGCTACAGGTGGAGGAGCATCACCCCACCATCCTTCATGGGAAAGTCTTGCCCGCCACTGGGCATCTGCCTCACTTAGGCCCTGCTGAATTTGCAGTCCCCATGGTAACAGCGGCATGTCCCTTAGTTATTCCCATGGGGCAGGTAGCAAGTTGGGTTGTGTGGGGCCCAGGTGGGCAGGGCGGGCTCTCGTGGTGACCAACCAGCTGATGCCCTTCCCGGGCAGCAGGTTACACTGCACCACACCTGGTGGCAGTGAGAGGCAACGGCACTGGGGCTGAGAAGCCCGAACATGCAAGATACAGGTGGGAGCACAGTGCCCTTCAGGGCTTTGCACCTGCTAGGACTTGGTTTGGGGAAGGGGACAAGCCATTTCCACACTTGTCCTTGCACCATGGACCAGACCTCCACAGGACTCCGCCCCAGCAGGCCTGGACACCCAGCCTCTGGCCAGACACCCTCCCTCCTGGACAAACACCCTACCCCCAGCCTGCTCCTGCACCCTCCCTTGCTCCTCCACCCTCCCCCAGGCCAGACATCTATCCCCACTCTGCTCTTGCATCTACTGTTGTTCCTTGCACCCTGCCTCCTGTCCCCACACTGCACCCACCCTTGCTCCTGCTCCTTGCTCTTGGCCAGACACCCTACTCCCAGTCTGCTTCTGCACTCTACCTCCCACCCAGACCTTGCAACTTCTCCCCATTATGCACCCCACCTCCCTCCCAGATTCTGCATTCCATCCCAATCCCACTCTCTGGAAGTCCTGTCACGCACACTGAATCCCTTGTTTTTCTCTTCACCCCAGAGCCTAAGAGGGTCCATAAAATCCACTAACTCTGGAACCCCAGAAAAGTAAATCTGGCCTATGGGAAGCCCTGAACCTCCCCCCCCCCTCCTCCCCCCGTCCTTTCTCCTTGCCCCATGGGGCTGGAGGGACAAAGGAATGAGGTGTCTCATTTGGGGGCCACATCAGTAAGGGTTGGGGGGTTTTAGAGAAGTTATTTTGCTTCTCACTTGTGTGGTTCCCAACTGATTTTTCTGTGGGTCAATGGTCTCCAGCCCAAAAAGGTTCTCCACTCCTGCCATAAATAAAGAAAACATTGAAACCTTTTGTCTTGGACATAAATTAATATTCTACTTTATTTAAAATGAAGTTTGATAAATGAACATGAGAAAGTTAAAATGCTTAATCTGTTTAATAATTTAAATTAAACCATTCTCCCTAGCTGCAGCACTAGCAAAATGGCTTGGGCATAATTATGTAATTAACGGTGAGTTTCCATTAGCAACTGGTGGTCAGCAGAAAGGTTTACATTGAGCCAGGTGGTCCATGGGCCAAAAAGTTTAAGAACCACTGGACTAGAAACACTGTATCAAAACTGATGCCTAAGGAATATTTGAACCCAATGGGTCAGTATTGACAGGATTTTCCACAACAAGGTTAGCCTGATCAAGGACTTCCAGATATGATCATCATTCCGATTAGGTAACATCACCAGACAGTGTGAAGAATACATGAAAGACCTATATCCTCACTCCCCTCCCGCCCCTCATAGAAAGATCCCAGGCACCAGCTCCCAGCACCCCTACCCTGAGACCTACCTATTTACCAATACCAGCCATGCCATGAGAGCTTCCAGCTGCCACTAAACAGCATCCAGACACCCCAAAATTTATTCACTTCACTCAACATCCCTAGCAACGTTCTCACCTACCCATCTTCCTATCTATCAAGCATCACCACTGCACAGTTTTGTGCAGCTTCATATCACTGCTGCTTGGGTTAGGTAGGGTGCATTGACCATACACTGAAGTCTGTGGTGTTAAGTGAAGTTTTTTAAACAGTTTGCATAAAATGTCAAACCTGGACTGGCAAAAAACTTGGCAGCTAAGCCTTCCTATTTAGAAAGGGAGATACTGCATTCAGGAGGAAGAGGCAAATATAGACCCTTTTTCTAACTTCTTTTCTTCTAGAGTACATGTTTATTGCTAGCTGCCATACATAATCCCTGTGTCTTTCCAACAGCCCAGTCTTGTTTATAGCTAGACTCTGCTCTGGGCACGCAGCACTGTTTAGCTGCATGACCCCAGAAAGGAAAAAATATATGGAATGAAGTGAAAATTCCTCTCTGCTATGTGTTTAGAGCAGTTACAACCTCTCCTCCGCCATGCTGGCTCAGCTGTGCCGCCGTCCCTCCTCTCCCGTCTTATACCCATCTGCTCAGAGGACTTGGGTAACAGAAGCACAGCACCTTGCTTTCCCTTCTGTGCCCCAGTCCAAGATTTAGGGAAGCCTCACAGACTTCTCATTACTCCTTATAACCCTGCACTTCTGTCCAGTCAACCCAATGACTGAGCTTTCTACAGTGTCTGGTTCAATTTGGTACCACTACTGATTGGGTCTTCTGGACACCACTGCAATATTATTCAATAACACCCTGAAGTTCCTATGATGCTGGCATTTAGCCATAGCCTTGGTATCTATGAATCACTATCCGAGATCTACCAGTATGTGCTTCGCAGCTCCCATTGGCTGCAGTTTGCCATTTCCAGCCAATGGGAGCTGCAAGGCTCCATGGCTATGGACACATTGAGTAAACAAAGTGGCAAGGGCCCAACAGTAGCTTACCTTGGTGGCCCCACAACCCAAGTTTGAAAAACTCTGGACTAAGTGACTTACCAAAGGTCAAATAGCTTGTGGCAGAACAGGGATTCGAATTTAAGACTTTTGCATCCTGTGTCAGCACCTTAATTATTACTTGCCCTTCTTTTTCCTCACAATGTGTAGGTATTGCTCTGTTCTGGCCTTATTCCTTGTCTTTCTATGATTATGTAACCCTCCTCTCTTCTCAAATTTAATTAAATCTCCCCCTTAACATTCCTTTCATTTCATAAGCCTTTGATTTCTATCATCTTTTTCTCATCCTATTGGTCCTTCTGATCCAGCTAGTCTATAATAGATTCTCTTAGCAATATATCCTTAATTCTCAGTCAGAATGATTATTCCTTGCTTACCCTGCCATTTCTTCATTGTACTCTGTTTTGTCAGCAGTCTTTATCATACTGAGTTTCTCCTGCCCTGGACTAAATATGTAGAGCCCGTTGCAGATACAAAATGTATATCTGCAGCCGCATCTGCAAAAATGATCTGTGGATATCTGCCTCCACATCCATGGATGCAAATAACCATGGATATAAAGAGGATATCCACAAATTTGCAGGGTTCTAGATATCTGCAAAAGTGAGCCATGGATATCTGCATCCACGAATGCAGATACCTGTAGATATCCATGGATTTAAAGGTAATATAAGTATGATCCCAAGCCAAAATCTGGATACAAACACCTCTGCCATATGGAAGGTTCAGACTTTTGGATCCTAATTTTGCAGCTCAGGGTCATTTTTGTTCTAAATTTCCCCATACAGGCAATTACTTATGGCCATAAATCACATACACCTGCAAACTGAGCTACTGCACACACAAATGAATGAAAGCACCTATGCACTTCTGTGAGTGCAAGCTGGTCACCATTCTGTTTTTAAAATATGGTTCTCCCTGTACACTCCCAATACCTAAAAACTGAGCCCACACAGCTATCTACTTCCCCTGCCATGTCATGAGCAAGCCTGTGGGGTCAAATATTCATGTGCGCACACAGCTTCCCAAGTGCCCAAGTTAGGAATTCAGGTCAGGGCCCTAATTTAGTGATTACCAAATTTGTAGTATCTATGGATTCAAACTTTAATAATGAAAAGGGACAGGTTCCCAGGCAGGTTTAAAAGCTGATGTCAGTCTACACACTGAATAAACTGTACTGATTTGCTATGATTCTGTTCTACTAAAGAGGATAGGAGAGTTTGTGCACTGGCCTAGTGACAATATTTGGCTATTCCTTGGTTTGGAGTGCAAATTCCAATCACGAACCTAAGGTAGTGGGAGATGGGGGACAAATTGGGAGGGTACATGAGGTGTGTTGTGGAGAAAACAGAAAGACAAGCAAAATTAGGGTACCATGGAAGGAAAGAAAAATAAACCATGATTCCTAAAGAGGGTGCTAAATGGACAGTAAAAGGCCCAGATTCTTAACTGAGAAGTCAAGAATGACCTGGTCAATTGACTTCAACGAGCATTTTGCTGGTCAGTACTTAAGCTGTCAGGACTGAGGCCCAAATTTATGGGGCCACTGAGTTTCTCATGGCTTTTTTTAAACTTAACATAGCTAAATTGTGTAAGTTGACACAATTGTGTAAGGGCTTAAGATCTCAAATATCCTTCTTTATTATTCTATAAAACTTTACAGGCAAGTGAATACACTGTAGATCCAGTAGATTTGTTTTCATCGTGATGGCTGCTCCTTTTGTTATTTCAGTCTCTATATCTCAGCTCTCCTCCAAGGATACCTGCATGGACCAGCCCAGAAGAACTGCTGTGTGAAGGTTACAGTGTCTAGTTCAATCCACGCACAGCGAAGCACATCAACATAATGAAAAACTCAGTTTTCATCAGCCTGGAGCCTCCCATTTCACCTCCAGTTTCAAGTCTTTCATACCAGCGGGAAGAACTGATTGCTCTTATATTGGATACATGAAACTCCAAGGTGATCAACTCACTGCACCTAGGAAGTACAGGAGTGAAATACTTATACACTGATCAGTTTGGCATGTTAGACTAGTATCATCAAATATAAAGGTTTCCTGGTAGATGAACACACCTTCACCTTGACCCAAAACCCAGCCAAGTGGGAAAAAAGAAACACTGACCTTCAAGCTAACCTGCCATTTATCAGGAATTTGGAGGTTAGCTGTTTTCCCTTCTGGGCTGGTTGTTTTAAGCCCATGTCAGATGCTGTCAGTCACCAGCATAAGAGAACTGCTTTGACCCCTGATTTTGCTTTCAGTATCCCATGTGGAACTTCACAAGAAGTCCATACCACTATTGGCATATGGCTATCACCACTCAGCTCCCCAGACATCTTAGAATAATAAACTCGTAATTGAAAGGCGAGTTCAGGGCTGCTGTTTGCAGAGAGCCATGACCGCTGAATGATTACCACAGCAGGCAGTGCTACAGAGGTGCTGAAAGAGTCTATTAGTCTGCTTAGTCTAAGGCAGGACGGAGTGTTAATACAAGCCTTCTGCAAACAAATACCCCGCACAGACGCAGCAAAAAGAGTAACAAAAAAAAAAGAATTTATTTCTTTGGTGTCTCCACAGAGGGTCTTGTCAGAGAAGCGTAATACATGGAGGTGTGAAACAAATATGTAACAACAATGTGAGTGGAAATAGAAATACGTGCTTAAAAATCAGTTTGGAGGGAAACAGAATGAAGCTCTTGGGCAGTGGTTTTCACTTTGGGGTGAAAAGCAGATGCAGGCAGATGTTTGCTGACTGTGGGACAAGTTGCGCACACAGAAATGTATTCCTTCACTTTCCCTCTCTTAGCATTCTCCATGCAATGGTCCAGGATGTATATTATACTCAAAATGAAAAGAGAAATACAAAAATCAAATGTTACAGAAAAAGGTATTGGGCCAGACTGCTATAAATCAGTACAGCTCCATTGACATCACTAGCTTACACCATCATAGGAGACAGCCAATTACCCCAAAGCAAAGTGGCTACAAGGCATGCAGTGACCTGAGTCCAGCTAAGATAAGCCAAGGGGAAACTGGCTGGATCACTGGCTGGGATGCTACCGCCATGATGAACACACACACATGGCCTCAGCACAGCACTTATGCCTCTTATGAGCTATTTCTCAGAGATGGTGGGTGACATGTATGAGACTCGGGGACAGCTCTTGAGACAGCAGCCACTTAAAACAAATTATAACTGGAGTAGGGGAAGGGAGATAGATGATGAACCAGAATGTGATTTTTAAGGTCCAATATCTCAAGAATCAACAGAAACTAACTGCTTTCCACAGATGGAGTGTATGTGACAATTCTCAAGCAATCATAAGTCCCCATTGGGCCCTCAGGACAAGCAAAATCACAGCCCAGGATGTGCAGGGATCATGATGCTCCCTATTCATGTTTTAACTACAGTAATGGCTGAGACACACCCATATTGCAAATCCAGGGGACATATAAGGGACTTTATTAATTGGTTCAATACAGTCTGGCCACTCACACAGCAATGACTAACTCAGGTTGTTTTATGATGAAATTAGGAAGTAGTAGTAAAAGTGACTACTGAAGCAGAAGTGTAGAACAACAAAAGAGGAAAAAAGATCTATTAGTTCATTGAGTCCATCTCCCGACAGGTGGATGGCATAGTCACCTGATAGAATATATCAGGGCATGTCTACACTACCCTCCTAGTTCGAACTAGGAGGGTAATGTAGGCATACCGCACTTGCAAATGAAGCCCGGGATTTAAATATCCTGGGCTTCATTTGCAACTTCGAATGCCTACATTAGCCACCCTAGTTCGAACTAGGAGGGTAATGTAGGCATACCGCACTTGCAAATGAAGCCCGGGATTTAAATATCCTGGGCTTCATTTGCAACTTCGAATGCCTACATTAGCCACCCTAGTTCGAACTAGGAGGGTAATGTAGGCATACCGCACTTGCAAATGAAGCCCGGGATTTAAATATCCTGGGCTTCATTTGCAACTTCGAATGCCTACATTAGCCACCCTAGTTCGAACTAGGAGGGTAGTGTAGACATACCCTCAGATACTAAACTGATAAGAATAGATATGTAAGATAATCATCAGTAAGGGTACATCTAGACTATGACGCTACTTTGGGATACCGAAAGTATCCCAAAATAGCAACTCCGTGTCTTTAAATGCTCCCGCTATTTCCCGAAATCACGGGTGCACTATTCCAGCATCCCTGTAACCTTCATTCCACAAGGGTTAAGGGGTTTGCTGGAATAGTGCCTTATTTTGAAATTTGGTGCTGCTCTTTCAACTTAGACTCAGAATAAGTTACACAATTTCCATAGCACAAATTGCGTAACTTATTCCGACAGACGGGTGCTGTCTAGATGCACCCTAAGAGTCCAAGAAGGCAACTACAGCTACTAAAATGTTCAAAAGTAGCATCTACCTCTCTGAGGCACCTTAAAAAAAAATCCAACCTGTGTATTCTAATCACCACAACATGTTCCTCTGGTGCAAAGGGGGAATAATATATAAATAAATAAATAATTATTACAATTATTATTGTAGAAACAAAAAACAGGACTATGTAGCACTTTAAAGACTAACAAGACGGTTTATTAGGTGATGAGCTTTCATGGGCCAGACCCACCTTATAAACCATCTTGTTAGTCTTTAAAGTGCTACATAGTCCTGTTTTTTGTTTCAGCTACACCAGACTAACACGGCTACATTTCTATCACAATTATTAATTATTATTATTATATTGCATTAGTACCTAGAGACTAGTCCTCATTGTCCTAGACACCAAAGAGACAGTTGCTACACAGTGAGTATGTCTACACTGCACACTTATTTCAGAATAAGCTATTCCGGAAGAAATACTCCAAATAGCTTATTTTGAAATAGCACGTCCAAACTACAGGGAAGCCTGAAAATTAGTCTGAGACAGGCTCTCCTAATGTGGAGCTTTTTTGAAATAGCAGCAGTGGAGCAAGTGGATCTGAATGGAGCAGCTCCAGCAGAGTAGCTGAGAAAAGAACAAGCATAACAGTCACCAATGGGTGATTGCTCCTGGATGATGGATCTGAATGGAGCAGCTTCAGCAGAGTAGCTGAGAAAAGAACGAGCATAACGGTCACCAATGGGTGATTGCTCCTGGATGCAGTACAGGAACCCTGGCAGATTGGTGCTGGGAAGCTTGCACTGTATTTATTCAGAGGTTATGCCAGCAGAGAGGAATTAAGCTTTCAGTGCTGTTACTCACACACCTCTCATGAGCAGCAGAATTTTTTCTTCATGAGTTTAGACAAAAGAAGAGACATTGGTAGATTAATAAAAGAAACCCTTCAATTCCACAGACTTCTACTTACACCAGATATATTAAAGCTAAATTATTGTTCCCCCATCTGGTATATTGTGCTGTGTAATTTCTATGACTTTCCAGGCATATGGAACAGTTCCATATTTTTAAAAACTCCAAGAACACTACTGTTGTAATTAGACGTGCTTGTGGCCTCTCAGACCTGAGTAATCCGCCTCTGTCTGAACTTCAGCAAACTCTACACACTCAGGGGTAATTTGTCCACTACAAGGCTCCTCCACTTGACTGCCAAGCCAAGTTAAGATCTGACAGTTCCAGAACACAGGATTTAAAACATGGCCTTGTGATTATGAACCAGGAGGATGTCCAGTGGCATAAACCCATCATATGACTGCATGCTGTGCACATTGGGGTAACCATGTGGAAGAGCTAATTACAAGACAGGAAATTAGAGCACAAGGCTGGAGGAAGCAATCTTTCAGCACAGAGCAAAACCAATCACACAATCTTTAGTAATCAGACTCTGACTAGCACAAAAACTAGCCACTGAAGGGAATACTTGGGTTAAAAAATCTTCACTCTCTTTCTCTCTCTTGTTCTTTAATCTAAGCCAAGTTCCCAAAGAGAAATTTCTCTCTCATTAGAAAGCATTTGAACAGATGCTTCCATTTAAGCATGTAAATAATGTCATCAGTTAGAACCAGGGTACTCACATGCTTCTAACTAGATACATGCTGAATCAGGGCCTGAGCACTCATACTTTCATACCTTCCCTCTTACCAAATCTCTTGCAGCAGAACCCACAAGGCTGTAGTTTATTTACTTTGCACTGACTATGTCTGACTGGGATGGCTGTACAGTATATAGGCCATGTTGCACTGTCTGCTGCTTCACTTGGGATTTTTCTGACCATATCAGCAGAACAAGTTGGTTTTGACAGCACAAAGTTTTGCAGGTGAAACATGTGACGTTTTCATACGAGTTGCTACAGCCCCCAAAATAAATAAATAAAAGCCCCTGGCACCAACACATCGATGACTTTCCCCTAGAAATCCAACAATGTAATAAGCTTGCCCAATCTTTGTTCCAGTGGAAAGGGAATTCTGAGTCAGCTACTAGAGGTTGGTTTGGGAACCCAACAACAGGAGGGCATTACTTTGAAACACTTGTGAACCATTTCTCCCTGCATGCCCAAACAAATCTCCACCAAATCCTCATTCTGCCAGAGCCAAGGATAAAAGAGACACTTTTCAGAATAAAGTCTCCATCACACGACAAGGGACGTGTGCAGAGGGGCCGGGAGAGATAAAAGATCAACGATAGCCTTTGGCCTGCTGACTTTGAAAACACTGCTCTGGGGTGAAAAATCCAGTGCTGTCAGATCTCATCGTGATCTCAGTGAATCAGCCATGGTTTGACTCACAGAGAGCAGGATCAAAGAGCTTTCTCTACAGTATATGACATATCCCAGCCTGAATTTGCTAGGGAAGAGATAGAATCACGTGCAATGGAAAAATTAGATCAGACAGGCATGGTAGGAACTGCACCTTGCTCACTGACAAATTCAAGTCTACCAGTAATGAGGAGGGTCCCTGACATCTAAAAGATGCACAAAAGAGAAAATAAAGACAACAGCAGAGTTAGAGGCATCATGCTTCCTCCAATTCCAGTGCATCAGACAATAGTTGTATCCAGATCTCAAGGACCAAGCAAATATTAACCAGTTAGTGATGGTAAAATTATTAGGGACACTTTGGCAGTTCAACTTGTATGGCATAGGGGCTTTTTGGCCACTAGAAACTAATCAGCACCTACAATTCTTTCTGCCTGGAGACATTAGCAGAATCCATATCAATGTGATTAATTAAAAATAGACAATTAGTAGGATATTAATGACAAGTCAGAGTATTTATGGGATTAAAACTCTGGTTATACCCTGACAAGTGACTCTACAAATGCCATTACAGGGTTCCATATTGTCTCAATGCTTTCCATATTAAATTTGCTCATTTCACAAGAAAAAGTGTTTTCTTACAATCCATACCACACACTCATATGGGGATCTGAAAATCAAACTGTGTTTTTGCACTTCACCTCCAGGACAGCAAACAAAACAAATATTCTGCAGATTAATGCCTCCATTTATTTCCATCTGCAGGATCCTACTGTGGACAATAGAATTACATTGCATAGATCAGTGTTTCTCAACGTGGTCTGTGGACCCATTCTGAGAAATCTGCCAACAGGCTGCTCCAGTTTGTTTATTTACCAGCTCCTCAGCCATGGAGCCTTGCAGCTCCCCTTGGCTGCAGTTCACTGTTTGCAGCCAAGAGGAGCCGTGGAAAACAGCAGCCCAGGTCATGGCACTTCCCGCAGCTGCCCTTGGCTGCAAACGGCAAACCGGAGCCAAAGGGAAGCGTGAGGCTCTGTGGCTGTGGAGCTGTAAGTAAACACACCAGAGTGGCCCACTGGCAGCGCTCTGAGTTGGTGCGTGGACCACTGTGAGAAACACGGGCATAGATGTAATTCATGGCAGAATGTGGTCTGAAGCTGATGCTTCGTTAGAATTCTTTTGAGACACGGGAGTAACAATTGAATCTAGCTTGGGCTCCCATAAATTTATCTAGCTCCTACAGGATCAAGATTTCTTTCTGAGCCTGAATATGCTCAAAGAGCAGAGTTGTCAAGTAGAAAGGGTCACTTTACACTGTACTTTTCTGAGTACAACTGCACTTTAACCTTTGTTCCTTTGCTGACATGGATTGAGCCAATTGCCAGATTCAGGATCAGGGAAATTTTTCTACAAAGATATCTATAAACATCTCTTCCTCTGCAGCAAAGAAAAACTTTTAAGGCACTCAGATACCATGGGGATGAGCACACTGTAAAATATGTAGATAGATAAGATAAGGCAGGATTGTCTGGCAGGACTCAGGGCCTGTAATTTGACATGATGCTGATTCCCCTGTGAACACATGGGCAGGGTAATAGGGACATTTGTTCCCTCCCATCTTCCATATCTTCCATTAGTAGAGCAACAAGTATAAAACTAGCATGTTTTAGTCAGGAAAAAAAATCACCTTATCACTCAGGTCACTATCCCAGGCCATTGGTGAGAATCAAGTCCTCCTAAACCAAAAGGATAAAGAACAAATGTGGATATCCAGCCACTGCACCAAGCTCTTACAATCTACATGTTTTGTTAGTCTATAAAGTGCTACCAGACTATTTGTTGTTGTTTAAGTTTATCCTGTAACTCAGCTACCCTCGAAGCTTCTAAACTGCACAATGTTGGGCCAGTACTTGGAGTAGGAGACCATCATGGAGAAATACAGCACAGAAGAGGGGAAAGTCTCAGAGAGTGGGAATTTCACAGAAGGGTTCAAATCAACCTTAATTATAAGGTCATCGAGTCCAGCCCCCCGCCCTCAAGGCAGGATCAAGCTCTGTCTACACCATCCCTGACAGATGTCTATCTAACCTGTTCTTAAATATCTCCAGAGAGGGAGATTCCACCACCTCCCTTGGCAATTTATTCCAATATTTGACCACCCTGACAGTTAGGAATTTTTTCCTAATGTCCAATCTAAACCTCCCCTGCTGCACTTTAAGCCCATTACTCCTTGTCCTGTCCTCAGAAACCAAGAGGAACAAATTTTCTCCTTCCTCCTTGTGACACCCTTTTAGATATTTGAAAACCGCTATCATGTCCCCCCTTAATCTTCTTTTTTCCAAACTAAACAAGCCCAGTTCATGAAGCCTGGCTTCATAGGTCATGTTCTCTAAACCTTTAATCATTCTTGTTGCTCTTCTCTGTACCCTTTCCAATTTCTCCACATCTTTCTTGAAATGTGGCGCCCAGAACTGGACACAGTACTCCAGCTGAGGCCTAACTAGTGCAGAGTAGAGCGGCAGAATGACTTCACGAGTTTTGCTTACAACACACCTGTTGATACAACCTAGAATCATATTTGCTTTTTTTGCAACAGCATCACACTGTTGACTCATATTCAACTTGTGGTCCACTATGACCCCTAGATCCCTTTCCGCCATGCTCCTTCCTAGACAGTCGCTTCCCATCTTGTATGTATGGAACTGATTGTTCCTTCCTAAGTGGAGCACTTTGCATTTCTCTTTATTAAACCTCATCCTGTTTACCTCTGACCATTTCTCTAACTTGCTAAGGTCATTTTGAATTATGTCCCTATCCTCCAAAGAAGTTGCAACCCCACCCAGTTTGGTATCATCTGCAAACTTAATAAGCGTACTCTCTATCCCAATATCTACATCATTGATGAAGATATTGAACAGTATGGGTCCCAAAACAGACCCTTGAGGAACTCCACTTGTTATCCCTTTCCAGCAGGATTTAGAACCGTTAACAACAACTCTCTGACTACGGTTATCCAGCCAATTATGCACCCACCTTATCGTGGCCCTATCTAAGTTATATTTGCCTAGTTTATCAATAAGAATATCATGCGAGACCGTATCAAATGCCTTACTAAAGTCTAGGTATATGACATCCACCGCTTCTCCCTTATCCACAAGGCTCGTTATCTTATCAAAGAAAGCTATCAGATTAGTTTGGCATGACTTGTTCTTCACAAACCCATGCTGGCTATTCCCTATCACTTTATTACCTTCCAAGTGTTTGCATATGATTTCCTTAATTACCTGCTCCATTATCTTCCCTGGGACAGACGTTAAACTGACCGGTCTGTAGTTTCCTGGGTTGTTCTTATTCCCCTTTTTATAGATGGGCACAATATTTGCCCTTTTCCAGTCTTCTGGAATTTCCCCTGTCTGCCATGATTTTTCAAAAATCATAGCTAAAGGCTCAGATAGCTCCTCTATCAGCTCCTTGAGTATCCTGGGATGCATTTCATCAGGACCTGGTGACTTGCTGACCTCTAACTTTCCTAAGTGATTTTTAACTTGTTCTTTGTGTATCCTATCTTCTAAACTTACCCTCTCTCTGCTTGTATTCACTACGTTAGGCACACCTCCAGACTTCTCGGTGAAGACCGAAACAAAGAAGTCATTGAGCATCTCTGCCATTTCCAAGTTTCCTGTTACTGCTTCTCCCTCCTCACTGAGCAGTGGGCCTACCCTGTCCTTGGTCTTCCTCTTGCTTCTAATGTATTTATTTATAAAATGTCTTGGCATGCACACTGCCAAGTCAGTCCTCTCTCTCCTAAGCTCCAAATGTAGACAAGCAGACATTCTCCTACTTTAGGTAACATTCCCCTCTGGAGGAAGTCCCTAGAGAAGCCACTAGCCTGAGTCTGAGGTGAGTCCTTTTGACATCATGATTATTTATAGTCTCACACTGCACTATACCCGGCAGAAACAGAACATTGCATACTCACATTGGAAACTGTTGAACTCAGCTCATGTTTGTTCTATTTCTATATTTTAATACTACTGCCGTTGCTTTCTCAGCTCAGCCCTATGAGCATATTCTGCCACTTTGCTCCCCATCCCCCTGGTCTGCAGACCAGGGAGACGGGGAGCAAAGCAGAGCAAAGCCGCGGAGCACGCGGGCAGCCCAGACGCGTCTGGGCTGTCCACTGCCCGCGTGCTCCACCGCTTTGCTTCCTCTCCCTGGTCTGCTGGAGACCAGGGAGATGGGCCCCATTCGTAACTGCGGATCCGACGTAAGTCGGATCCGCGTAACTTGGGGACTGCCTGTACTTTGGGAGTATGTCTCCACTACAATAAGGTGTGTTCTTACCTCAGGTTAACTAACCTGCATTAGCTAACTCAGGTTAAAAAAACAGTGGCAAGAGACAGGGCAACTTGGTTTTTAATTCACATCAGCAGCTCAAATAAAAGGCTACAAAGGAGCTGGAGACTGGACTCGTGCTCACTCAAGTTAAAACCCAACTTACCATGTCTTCACTGCTATTGGAATCTGAGTTAACGAACATGAGTTAACACCAGCTCTCTTCTGGCTGTGCAGACATAGCTTGAACCAGCACTGACCCAAACCACCACGGCCTTCCCTCCATGCTGGACACTTGGCAGCATAAAGCTGCTGAAATGAGACATAAGACATTGTATTCTTCACTAACGGTGGTGGTTAATGATCACATGACAGATTTGCAAACATGGAATGTGTTCATCTTGGACAAATTGTACATGAGCTCATCCTATTTTGCCTACTTTAATTCCCTCTTAATTTTCAAACGGAAAAAGAATTCTTCACTTTTTGGCCTAAGCTGTTATGCAGTATGCTGCTAAATCCCTTCTGTTTAACTTCAACATGGCTGCATCGTTTCCTCTGTATAAGGTATGTTGTACAGATAACATTTTCAAAAGGTGTGTTGGGCTGAAAGACATTATATAAACAGAATTCTGCCTCTAGTGTAGGCACCATGACAAACAAAATAAGATACTGAAAATACAAAGCTCCACCCTGAAATAAAGAAATGGACAGACAAATATCTGTACAATAAGAGATTATGGTGGAATCATGATAAAATACAAATGCAATGCAATACAAAACAATACAATTTTCATATTTATTATATGGGTGTGATGTTTTATCCGGGGAGAAAGTCTGATCTTGGAAGGTTGGAAAAAAGTCAAGCTATTGATATTTTTAATTAATTTTTCCATCATCTGAGTATAAAGGATACTGATATTGCCTATATAACTACTGCAATTCTGGGATGAGCTCAGGGCCATTAAAACAAGGTGATAAGGAAGGGACAGCAGCTCAGAACCAATAAATCTCCCCTCCAGATGGCATTTTTATCTGAGAGTGCCAAAAGAAGCTAGACAGGAAATTTGTGGACTTATGGTAGCTATCATGGAAAACTCATTAAGCCTAAGTGAGTTTCCAAAAGACTAAAAGCGAGTTAATCTGGTGCCGGTGATTAAAAACGAATCTCAGCACTTCAGCCCCATCAGCACTAGTGTTCATAAAACAATTTAATCCAGATTGAGGAACTGGATGAGGGAATATCTATGAAGGACATACTGCATCTTACCTGCATTGTATAGAATTTCCCAAATTACACTCTAAACTTGATGATGATGACAAAACAACGAACAGTGCTTCTTTGGATGTCCAGAAACTGTTCCCGCTCATTACATGTATGTGTTCCCTAATCACATCAAAGAACTGAGGTGAGACAGGACAATGAATAAAGATTTGCTGATGCACAAAAACTACTCTTTTCAGCAGGGACTGCCCACTCTTCTGATTATGGGTGTGTACAGCACTTTGCACAGGGGGGCCCTTAGCCTTGCATGAGGTCTTAGAAGATTAGACTATAAAATACATAATAAAAACTGAAAGAACTTCAAGAATCTGCAAAGCCCAAATCCAGCAAGATACTTAAGTACTGCAAAACTTGATGCTTACTAGTCTCATTAAATTGAATAGGACTACTCATGTACTTAAAGTTATCCATCTTGCTGGATAAGGACTGGGGCGGGGGAGAGATTGTTACAGGTGTGCAAGTGGAAAAACAAGTGTATGTAAGATTGTGTATGTGAATGCATGTGTGTGTATAAGAGAGAGTTTTGCTTTTTGTTGGCTCAGAATAGCTCAGTTTCACTACAGTACAATAGAGATCATAATACCTCCATGCCTTACAGTTTGCTCTGAGGATAAATACATTAGCTTTTGTGGTGCATCCAAATATTACTCTAATGGGACCTATGTAAGCATCCAGATATTTCTAAGTAGAGAAAGTCATTTGGCTGTTGTTGGTTCCCATGATCAATGGTTTTCATAGGTCTAAAAAGTCACTCTAAGAACAGTTTCAACACATACCTGTCAGCGAAGGTCTTCTAGACATACTTGACCCGCCTTAGCACAGGGGGCTGGACTAGACCTCAGGAGGTCCCTTTCAGCCCTACATTTTCATGAGTCTATATATTGCCTCTCTGGACCTGTTTACTGTATATCTGAAACACATGAGAAGCAGTGTGTTTAGCCTTTGGCTATCATATAAATAGTGTGTTAAGCAGAGGTTTATGTTTCAAAATTCAGTGACAAACATTCACTGCTTCCAATAATCCAGCACCACAGAAATGATTAACCCAATATTTACAGCATTCTGTTTCATTTTAAAACATTCCAACTGCAATTAACAATGTTTCTCAGGTACTGTTGCAACTGTCTCTAGAAAGTATTTATGCCACAGGGACCTTATCTTTGACTGAAGCAGCATGTTTTGTTCCTAACACAAATATTTAACTGAGGCTCTGGAATGCCTTTCTATAATCTGTACCCAGTTATGTTGATATATTAATAATGAAATTGTAGCTCTCCAAGATAGTAATGAGTGTAGAAATGGGACTGGAATCAGAATCCTCTAATGCAAGAAATGCTGCTTGGTCAGCTGGACACAGAAGGTACATCACTGATTTGAGCAGGAACATGACTGTACCATAATGATAATGACTTACATTATATTTACATAGTGCCTTGCACTCAGAAATGGCTTTATAAACAGCCTCTCAGTCCAGCCCTGCATAGTGCTGAGTATGGGATACAAGATGCTGAGCAGCCTGAACTTCCAGAGAGATTATGTGCATCAACAATTAGCAGTAAAAGCTATGTTGATTAATCAGTTCCTGGTAATGAAATCCAATTCATTACATAAAACCCTAGTGTTTGGACTGAGTTGTGAGTGGCTGAGGAAGTAAAAGTCTCACTAGTGCAGGGCCACAGAGTACGCTACTTACTGCACAGAACACCCACCAGATGTGTAAGTAACTGGTACCCCTGGATCACCATAAACATGGGTCTATGCCCCCTCCCTTATCCTTCTCTAACCCACTCACAATGGGCCCTTCAGAGAGACTTTTTTTCTACTTCATGTAGGTGGATTGCAGACCCCTCTGTGTACTCACTTAACCAGCAGTCCCTAGCACAGACTTCATAAGGGGTGTAAATGTTACAGAGGCCTTTCCAGTGCCCCGCCACACTTGGCTGAATTTCACCTGAAGTGAATAATGAATGCATGAAATGACTTGGAAATAAGTGTGTATATCGCAGGCAGAAATTCATTATAAAATAAACATTGTTTCCTCCCTACCATGATGACAGCACATTTTAAACTTCTCAGAGGTGGGGGGGTTTTTTCTTTTATTTTTTTTAATAGAAGCACTGGAAACATGGAAGCTTGGAAATATGGTTAGAAAGGCAAACAGGAGTTCAAATCTTGATTTGTGCAGAGCAGGCTGAAGAACAATTGTGGCCCAGGAACTTTGAGTAACCGTTGGTGATTTGGGATTCAGACAACTTTGGAAGGCAAAGTCTTTTGATTCCTCAGTGGTAACAGACCAAGTGTTTTCTACATCATAATACAGGAGACTGAATAGCTAAGAGAAAAGCAGTGCTTACTGCGGTTTTGTTACATTATACAGAGTGCTAGCAAGAAAAATCTTCTGGCACTCTACAGTTCACTGAAGCTTTTTTCCAGGCCCTAATCTTCTTTTATTCTCCATGCATGAGTGGTCAGATGGAACTGATAGATCTGTTATCACATGCAAAGGGTCTGGCTTAGAGTTATTGACTGATAACTCACTCTGATTGCCCTTTTCCTATGCACCCGGGTGACAGCTGAGATCAGATGAGGGGTTCTTGCTTACAGAACCTAGGTTTGACTGTCTAGAATCTGGTGGAAGGACATTTGCCTGACATTCTCGGTCTCATCCTTTTTTCCTCCCATCAGGCCAACAGAACCTAAGTTAGATGATATTTAAGGCAGATTATCAGGCTCATGTAAAGAATTGTTTCCCGGGGTGAGAATTTAATACAGTTACTGTTTGCCAATAATTTATGTCCATTATTTTAATTCCTGTGCCTGCTCTCAGAGATCAATGATGGATGCATATAACTAATATAAAAGGTGCCTGAGGATTGTATTACTTTGCATCCAGAAGGGGACCTAAATAACATCTGCAGCAGCAAGACAACGTGCAGGTGCATGAAAGTACATGAGCAGAAAGTGTGTACTTTTTTGTGTGCTCAGGAAATGGTTCAATGGTTCAACATTGAGTTAAAAACACCCTCTCAATAAATGATGTTGAGAAGTAGACTGTTAACAAGGGAGGGGATGAGGGTGTTTTTCCATTTTGAATGTTCTGTGGCATGCTCCTTCCAGTCTCAGAGGATTAGTGCAATAATGGATCTTTCAGGTGACAAATGCCTGGAAATAATGCAAGACAGGCCCAACAAGGACAATAACTGAACACCACTAGTCATCACCTACAGCGCCCAGCTTAAATCCCTCCAGTGCATCATTGACAATCTACAACCTGTCCTAGAAAACAATCCCTCACTCTCACAGGCCTTCTGAGACAGGCCAGTCCTCATCTACAAACAGCCTCCTAACCTGAAGCAAATTCTTTCCAGCAAGCCACACATCACACCTCAGATACTCTCACCCAGGAACCCACCCATGCAATAAACCCTGTTGCCAGCTCTGTCCACACATCTATACTAGTGACACCAACACAGGACCTAACCACATAAGCCACCACATCAGAGGCTCATACAACTGCCGCTGTGATCTGTGCCATCCAGTGCCAGCAGTGCCCCTCTGCAATGTACATTGGTCAAGCCAGACAGTCTCTACAACAAAAGATAAATGGACATAAAACCGATACTAGAAATGGCAACACACAGAAACCTGTAGGGGAATATTTTAACCTGCCTGGGCACTCATTAATGGATTTAAAAGTAGCCGTTCTTCTACAAAGGAATTTCAGAAGCCAGCTACAGAGAGAGAGTGTGGAATTGACCTTCATATGCAAATTTGACACCATCTTCTTTTGCCTGAACAAAGACTTGAACTGAATGGCACATGGAAAACCAATTTCCTTAAACAGTATTCAACACCTCATTGACATCGAAAACTAAGGAATGGACACTTCCAGCCCACTCAATTAGCCTCATTAGCATCAGGACTACACTTGAAAGGTAATTTCTTTTCTCCCTCTCCCTTCTTACTCTGAGGGGCCCCTTTTTTTCCTCCATTCAAGCTCATCTAAGCACTGGTCTACACTAGGGAGTTATTTTGAAATAATTCCTCTTATTTCAAAATAACAAGCGGAGCATTCACACTACCAAGCCCGTTATTTTAATGGGCTGGTTATTTCAAAATAACTCCTCTTGCTTTTCACAAGGAAAAATGGTTATTTCAAAATTGTTATTTCAAAACAGTGTTAGGGTACGTCTACTCTTGCTCCCTATCTCAAGATAGGGATGCAAATATATTGTACCGAAATTGCTAATGAAGCACGGGATTTAAATATCCCATGCCTAGTTAGCATAATCGCGTGCGACTGCAATTTTGAAATCACATTATTGTGAAATAAAACACCCCGTGCAGCAGCATTATTTCGAGAGAAAACCCTTCTCTCGAAATAACTGTTAAACTTCATTGTATGTGGAGTAACAGTTAACAGTTATTTCGAGAGAAGGGTTTTCTCTCGAAATAATGCTGCTGCACGGGGTGTTTTATTTCACAATAATGTGATTTCAAAATTGCAGTCGCACGCGATTATGCTAACTAGGCATGGGATATTTAAATCCCGTGCTTCATTAGCAATTTCGGTACACTACATTTGCATCCCTATCTTGAGATAGGGAGCAAGTGTAGACATACCCTAAGTGTGAATGCCCAGCTTCTGCTATCTTGAAATAATTGGCCTCCAGAGGCCTCTTACAGCTGCACTTGTGGCCGCTCTGGCCACACCCCAGACAACTCCAATGCACCACTTCTCCTGCAGAGTTTAAAGCTGCAGGCAGAAGGGAAAATGCTTGTGACACCAGGACAGCCCTGCCAGACCCACGCCACACAGCACCCTTTGTTGGAGCCATCATCCCCCAGCACACCCTCTGCCCCCCACAGCTGCTAGCACTCCTGCCGCACCCTCTGATGCCTCTGGCCAGGCACAAAAGAGGGCACTGGCCTGGACTAGTGCAGAGATCCTGGACCTCACTAAGGTCTGGGAGGGGGAGACCAACATCCAGGATCTCTGCACCAAGAGGAGTCATGCTAATGTCAGATGGCTACCAAACTGGCCCAGAAGGGGCACAGCTAGACCCTGGATCAGGTGTCCTGGATCAGGTTATCAAAGAACTCCGGCAGGCCTGCACTAATGCCAGAGAGCAAAATTCTCACTCTGCCACTTCTATGAGATGCCATCCTGGGAGCAGGGCCATTCACCTCCCACCCACCATCATTGTTGACTCTGGCCAGTTCACATCTGGCATCAGCCTCCACGAGGGGAGGATTGTGGAGGAGGATGAGGTGGACAAGGAGGAGGAGGAGCAGGCCAGCCAGGACACCATGACTGCCAGCCAGGAGCTGATCCTCAGCCTGGAACCAGACCCTCCCCCACTCTCAGGATGTCTCCCAGAGCTTGGACAATCCCAGGAAAGGCACTGCAGGTGAGTTCTATAACATTCTGCATGCACACATGTGGGCAGGAGACCAGCTGCGAGGGGCTGCGTGCTCCTTGCTTGGCCTTTTCGGTCTGGGAGGGGTGCACAGCTGCCAGTGTACAGGGGTAGACATGGATCACCAGACCAGAGCGCTCAGCTCCATGACACGCTCACACAGGAACCTCGCGCCTTCTCACCAGGTTCCTGGAGAGGCCTGCCTCATTCCAATCTCATGGTGAGACACCTTCCCATGACAAGCCACCACTAAGGAGGCTGGGGTCATGGAACCATACAACAGTGCCACACAGGGCCCAGGGTCATGCCCACACTCAGGAAGCATCCACTCCCGATCAAGCACAGCAATGCAGAGGAGACTGATCCCCTGCATGGGAACCTACCAGGGAGAGGAAGAGGAGGGGAACCCAGTAGCACTTTCCCTGGCAAGCAGCCTTTGCTGCTCTCTCTCTCTCACACACACACACACACGACAAGGATAAACGTTCTC